CATTTGTTAACGGAAGACATTTAAACGCAAAATATAGAAGCTGCCGTTGCTATGACGACTCATCAACACATTTGTCAGAAATTAAAATGCATTCAAAAATTGTATAATTTAATTCTTATTTAAGTGCACTGCACTAGTTTTCTCTCTGTTTTGTGCTAAACTGTTCACTCGCACCATGGAGTCGTACAGCGACGAAGATTTCTCGTGGTCTCCTGAAGAAATCATCAAGTCGGCAAGTGCGGCCACATTTAATATTCCATGTTCCAAAATAAAGAGTTTTTGAAGTAGGTGGTTGTTGAGCTTTGTTATGAACGCGAAAAAAATTTTGAACTCAACTTGCGAGCAAAGTGACGTTTCTTCATTTGGCGGATTTGCGCACTCGCTTTCGGCTCTTGTGGCAAATTTTCCTTCTCGTGAAAAAAAGATACACTTTACTCACTAGTTGCATAAAGAACTATTTACTTACATTGTTCGTATATTTTATTTTCTTAAATTTATTATTTAATTTTATATTTAAATTTATTTTACAATTTGTATATTATTTATCGATTTTTAGGTATACAATTTTTTGTACAGTTGTTTTGACGTTTTTAAAATCACAGACTTCGTGCTAACGACAAATTAAATTCGTCATTTAGGCCGAATCGCCCTGTATATATGTATATAATACATTTGACAAAACTAATTCCTTCAGAACTGTAATATAAAAATTAAATTATGAAATGTTAACACACGATAAACATCGAGTTATTAATAAAGTGACGCTCACTCAGCTTTCGATGAAACCATGTTCATTATCATTAATACATATAAGTATTAATGAAAATTGTCAAATTCTGAAAAACAGTAATACACGTAAAAGATAAATAGGTTGGGTCGTATAGGACATTGTTATCTAAAAGTACTAGACAATGTTGAAAACCAGGCAAACAATTTCAGAATCGTAACATCTGAGTGACTACCTGAAAATTACGCGGGAAACACTACCATAAATTCATCTTTCTCTCTGTTGCATTCGTAGGAAGTTCACAATAATAACTACAAAATATTTATTTTCGTTTACAGCTACAAGTACAAATTATGACTACAGTTAGGATTTTTATCGAAAGACGTACCACCTACTACAATTTTAATTTTTTCCTATTGTCATCCTGCTCCTCCAAACAAAAGTTTGCCCAACAAATATTGTGATGTAATTATGGTATTTGTATGTAATGCTCACTGTTCAAGTAAACCGAACGTCAAAAATTTTGAACTGTAAATTTTATCATTTAGGAAAGCCAGTGCGCATTTAATTCTTTATCCTATTTTTCGCTTCATTCTTAAGTACAAGCCAGGTAAGAACTGAAGTAGGTAAGAATTATCAATGAGACCGGCGGTCCTTCAGCAGCTCGTAAATGAAGAGATTTGTAATAAAGTTTCCTAGAACAGCCTGTCTCTTCAATGAAAATTTTAGTTTGTTAACGTAATTAAGTAGGTAGGTAAAATTTTAAACCGGATCCATATTTTTACTATGAAATGTGGGTACAATATGCTATATTCCTTTCTCGCTGCAAGACAGAACAAATAGATGAATAGTTTTTAAAACTGTTCCATTTTTCCACTGTTTATATTCTTGTGTCGAAGTGAAACACTAAAAAGCCGAAAGTCCGGAGATAAAAGAGTGAGTTTTAAAACACATAAAAACGACTTCTTTTTGGAAAAGCTTATTTACTTAAATATTGTTCTGTAACGTCCCGCGACGTGAAATGGAGTTTCTTAAGGCGAAACCGGACGACCAAGTGTGCGAGAGAGACAAAACATACCGAAATTTATTTCACTGTTCATTTAAACAATATTTGGTATAAACATAATTTTAAATGATATTCGTTTATAGTTATATCTTAGAAAAAGATATAACGTTTAATTTTTTTTAATATATGATTTTTTTTTAAGTAATAAACATAAATTTTGGAATTTTCAAAAAATTAAAACTTTCATTAGCCGGCCCTAATACTACAATGTCTACTAAATTTGTTAACAACATTTCCACTTACATATTTCTAATAATAAAGTACGAAACAGTAAAATACCATAGCCTTTTGCAGGCGCCGCCAACTAGTTTATAAGCACGCGACTTACATCTGTAGAGAGGATGACGTCATTCTTTTGGAGCTGCAATACTTTTAGATATGATAGATAAAAATATCTTTTGATATTTTAAAATAAAAAATAGTCTAAAACAATATATTTTTATTTGGTTCTCTTAAAGGCATATTTCTACACTTTCGGGGATCTACCAGTTCTGGCAGTAATGCTTCATGATAAAAATATTTTAATTTAGGGAACATTTTATTTTGCCAAAAGTTGTCATCTTTAAATATACGTTCAACGTACAAATCTTTCCTTGTCCATACAACAAAATCACAAAACTCACGATTACTGATATGCAATTGCCCTTGGACTTGATAAAAGTAGTCGTGAGTTCTTTTTAGACAGCCTTGTTTTTTGTCTATGTAAAACTGCTTTAAAGTTTTAGAAGCCTCCTCTACAGTTAAATTTTCAGCACTCTTTGGACACTTAACTTCAAGGATTCCATTTTCTCCAATGAGACCATCCGGAGAAGCAGCTAGGAAACCATTTTCCAAATCAACAAAGAGGCCGCATTCAACTACAACATTTTTTGTTTTTTCTTGGTAAGCGGTTATCGCCGTTTTTTCATTCAATATTCCATAATTAATGGCTGGACAATTTATTAAACTTTTATAACAAATTTGTTCTACCAACTTGGCCCAACTACTAGATTTTCTGCGTTTTACCACCGAGCCAAAGAGTGATGCAGTTAATCTGTTTTTCCTTTGGTTAAACCATTCCTCATTTTCTCGTTGTCCTCTGGTAGTTTCTTCAATCTTGTCTTGTTCTTCCTTGCACGATATGGCTATATTTTTGAGAAATTGTTCTTTTTCTTTTTTAAATTCTTCTTCATCCAAATCTAGTTTATGGCACGGTTCTCCATAATCTTTACAACCGTCATTGTTATTTTTTACTTTTCGTCTAGGTTTTCCTGAATTAAATAGCGATCTTCTGGTGTTACTTTGTTTTTTTAAGCGTTTCTCCCCAAGCCGTTTCACCAAGCAAGAAGGACTTTTCCCAATAACTTTTTTCATACTATTATAGTGCCACATAGGACCATATTGGAAATCAAGACCTGCACTTCGAGCTCGTATAGTATAGGCTCCTCTTTTCCCACGATCAATTTGTTTTCCACCAACAAACTTTGCCACAAGTGACATAAAGTTTTCAGCCAAATTGCTGGTATCATTAGTAACAAGCCGTGGTGCTTTTCGTAACAAGGGCTTAAGACATTCGTGCACATAATTATATGCAGCAAGTTCATTATCTGTTAAAACCTTTTCACTTTTGTCTGAATGACAAAAATAATTTTTACAATTTTTGTGAATGCCGAATACATGGGCTGGTCCGTTTCTCAAATCCTCTTTTAATATTTCAGGATTCTGATTCTCTTTTGAATTATGAATTATAGCACATCTTGCCCCTATCTTCAGACGTCTGACCACTCCTGGCGTAAGCACTGACCTAATAATTTTAGAAACGCCTTGTACTTTGCAAAGTGCTTTGGTATAGTTTTTTATAGCATGGTTTGCACATTCCAGTTTTTCAATATTTCGTCCATATGAAACTTTCTCATAAAGTCGTGCGAATACACTTGAATCACCATCTCCAATAAAACGTCTATATTCCAAACCATGCAAAGTTTTACTTTGTCGAAAAGCTTGTACTAACATATCGGCTTCCATAGCAGCAGAACTTCCATTCCAATTTTTGAAACAATTTTCGTGTCCTTCAGTCATATTTTGTTTTTTTCGGTAGAGACACATAGCGCAATATTTATTACGTACGTCTAAATGCAAAAGTTTTTTGGTGCGTTTGCCTATGACACACGCCACCCCCGAGTTGGCAGTGTATCTGTGCCCGTGGCTACGGTGAGACCATCCGCCATCGACTATAACGGTGATGAAAGGTGTTCCATCTGAAGTTACATCACCGCTTTCAATAGCCAATCTTTTTTCTTCTTCTCCTGTCTCCATCATAGATTCGAACAGAATTTCATGCCAAACCTTTAGAACAATAACAAGTATAAAGACTTTAGCCATCAATCATTCTTTTCATATATTACTTACTTTACCCAAATTCATTTCTATTTTGGAAAATGTTTTCTGGTCTATAGTTTTAACTCCTATAGTTGAAAATATTTCTTCCATTTGAAAATGTCCGTTCCCTGTTGAGATTGTACCCCAGACGGCACTTTCACTCAATGATAGTTGACGTGTGGTGGTAATTTTTTGAAAGGTGCTTGTTTGAGGCATACATTGCTTGTTCTCTTTTGCGTCATCATGAGTACTTGGAGTTGCTGTTGGAGGTTCACTTGCAACAGTTTTAGTAATTTTGCAGTATGGACATTGGAATTGTAAAAGCCATATTAAATTTTTACAACTAGACTTTAGCAATTTGAAATAACCGTCCGAACTCCTTAAGCATTCATGACGATGATATTCCAGTTTTCGTAATTCCTTCAAAAAATGTTTACCGTCAACTACAAATCTACCACATATATCATTAATGAGGGGATCATTTCCAGGATTTGGTGGTATTTGTTCGACAACCATATTTTCTAAATCAGTGATAGGCTCCCTTAAAAATAAAAATAAGGATTGCACACATTTGTTATTATGTATAGTAAATAATTATTACTCATGCTGAATGATTGTTTGATTCGGTGGTGACTCTTCGTCTGGTTCATCAAATTCATATATATTACTCGTGACCAAAGTATCTCTAGGAGAAATAGTTTTGCATAAAATTACTTCAAATTAAAAAAAAGTAGTATTAACAATAATGCTCGTTACCTTGCGTTCGCATATTGCTGATCGTTAGACAAAGGAACATCTTCACATGTTTTGTTTATTTTATAAGTTGACCTGGAAATCGTCAAATTTCAAAATATTCTGTGTAAATACGAGTAGATAATATGTAGTTAAAATTAAGTGTGCACCTTTTAATATTCCAATTCAGGAGTCCAATGTTCACTACTCGTTTTTTTCTCTTTGAAGATAAAGTAAGTTGTCTTTGATTCCTGCGATTTTCATTCCCTGTTTCATATCTATTTACAAAACTTACGTTGTTAGTAATCGTCAAAATACAAACTAATTATAAAGAATTAATTAATTTCAATTATTCAACATACGTAGTATCTTCTGTTACTGAACTTTCCCCTTCTGCGTGCGAGGTAGGTACATTGTTGTTACCTTCTGAGGTCAGAGAACTATAAAAATGGTACAAACATTTCAAGACTAGTAGATATTTTAAACATTATCAATAAATATTTACCTTGTAGATTGGTTGGTATTTTTCTCGGTGTTTGAATCTTCTTTCCTTTTTTTGCTATAGACACGAAAATTTGGAAAATTAAAATATAGAATATCATAACTCTATTTTTACTAAGTTTTTACTTACATTAATTGTATAAGTGTATTTATTTTCGCAGTAGACCTTTTTCTTTTTCTACTAAGTCGTAAATGATTTTTACCCTTAGTAGAGTATCTGTAGTCCATCTTCCTACAATTGTAATAGTGAGTAAACGTATAAAACTTTTTTATTAGACGATTCACATACTTCAAATTAAAGTCATTTCCATACATTTGCCATTATGATTCTTATTATACTTGTACTTACATGTAAGTAACTATTCTAAATTCGTACGTTTTATGTTGCTATGTATTTTTATTTAATATGATAATGTACCGGTAGTATTCTTATTAAATTTGCCAATTGAAAAATTGTTTAGATTTGTGGTGGAATTTATAAATTTGTTTTTTTCTTCGAATAACGAACGAAATAAAAGAAGGAAAAGGTACGTCCGTAACCACTTTTTAATTATTTGGTATCTATATAGGTTAAGCAATAGTTACTTAGTTTACTTACCTGAGTTTTATATAAATAAAAAATTAAGCAATTTTGCACCACGGCTGCACCACAACACAACGGCTTACAAAAATTGGAAAATGAATATCTTATCCTAAATGAACAAGATCGGGTTTCTACTTCCACGAAATTCGTCTGGTGGCAGTTTTCTTGAAGTTGTGATGGGAGAGGGGGAAACAAATGAACTGCTTCCGTGAGAGTATATCGGGCGGCGCAACATCAAAGAAAAATGTATTTTTCTGTTTATGTTATTATTATTGGTTATAATTATTAAATAAATTTATATTTACGTTCTGTGGATAATGCTTTATTTATGCTGGCTACCAGATTTTTTTAAATTATCACAATGTGTCGGTAAGTATGTGTATTTCAAAAAATAAAACAATTTAAAAAAAAATTGAACGTTGTATCTATTTCTATGTATTCATTTTGGCTAATGTGTCCAAAATATTTTACTAAAATTCATTACTTTTTGTAAAAATCGTGAAATAAATTCCGCGCCATCTATTGAGTTTTTGCTAGTACTAAATCGTGTCCGGTTTCGCCTTAATGTACAAAAGTATGTTGGATAATAACCGAAAAATTTTCTTGGTTAAAATTAAAGGAAACACAATTATTATTTGAAATTAAAATAAATAATATCAAGAACTTGTGCTATGCATGAAAAATATTCATTTTAAATAAGTAAACTATGTCAATAAACCATAAAACCACAACAATCTTTTTTTTGCAGAAATTATATTTCAATAAATTTTCAGTAGCGAGTTATCGATATACTTAATTGCATTTACAATATAAAATGTGAAAGAAAATGTCTTATTTTTTAGTTTATGCGGCATATGTTACCCGTTTTTTAAGACATATATGAATGGATATGTTTTGTCTTTAGTATATATCTGTCCGTCTCTAGACTAATAAATTTTAGTTTAAACATTTGATGCTGATTTGCACGAATAAACAAATTAAAACATTAGCCAAACAGCGGTTGCTAACGATGTCAGAAAAAGTGACTTGATTTGAACTTTTTCCAAAATAGTAATTATTTTATCGAACAAAAAAAATATGTTGACAGTATGAAATAAAATCCATAACGACATACCTCCGATAACTCTTTTCGCAGAACTCGTTTCGAAATTAAAAACTCGGCTCCCTACGGTCGCCTCGTCCTGAAACATCTCACTCTTTCTATAAAATTTGAGTTACCGGACCGTATTTATAATAATGTTAGCACTAACAAGTATTTAAAATAACAAGTACTTAATAATTTGTTTGTTTTATTTATTTTTATTCATTATAATAATCCCATTTCTTTATCAGAAACTTTTAAACGAAATAAATCCTACTTGGCTAGAAATAACGGCAAATTTGTGTTAGGCTCATCTGGCAACGTTGCAAATTATTTAAATGATAACTATGAGATTTTTACACATTTTTTCGTCGCCCTCTATCGAGTGGTAGCTTTATTAAATGTATTGTTGCTGTGATTTGAGTTATCTACGCGCGCGATTGGTGTCCAAGCTTTTCGCCGGCGTTTGACGGCCGACTGTTGGTGCGCCATCTCTTGTTCGCCGGCCGTTGGCCTGTTCGCTCCAAACAATAGCATGGGTCTATCTATATGTATTTAATCAATGCCCTGTATATGCAAATCCAAAAAATATGAATGGAGTGATAGATCACAAGTACAGACTCATCATATTTTGTACATTTTAGATATGATTTATTCCACAAACTTTTGAGCTGACGTCATCAAGTTTTTATTATTATTATTAATATTATTATTATTAATAGTCTTTCAACAGGCTAGGGCCCCTTTAGTGAAAGACATACATGTGAAAAAGGATACAAAAAATAAAAAAAAAAAAATGAGAAAAACAGAATACATGAAAGTGAGTGCAGGATAGTAGTGTGGCCGCCTGGAAGTAGGCAACCAGTTATACATACATATTGCAGCCACCGGATTGGCAGTTACAACACGCAAGCCCAAAGAGGAAACGCCACGGTGGAAACGTAAAACAGACTCTCTTCTTCTCCGACCACTCATCGTGTGCAGACGTCCTCTTCTTCTCCGACCACTCACCGTGTGCAGACGTCCTCTTCTCTTCAAGACCTCCACGTGGACATACACATACAACCTTGGGCCGTGTTATCATTTTTGTAGTTGGTATTGTAAATAAACCTGTACTAAAACCGTTTCCGTTAGTAATTCGACGACAACAATTACAATTGGTGACCCCGACGTGATCGAAGAACTACGGGTACGAACATGCCGACTGCCGAAGAACTGCAACAGCAACTCGAAAAACAGCAAGAAGCCATCCGGAAGCTAGAGCAAGAACTCGCCAATACTCGAGCAACCAAAACCACGGGAGATGAAGAGCTGCTCAAGAACCTCGACGAAGTAAAGGTCACATCGTCGAACTTGAAGCTACCGACATTTTGGCGACGCGATCCAGCGTTGTGGTTCGCACAGGTTGAAGCACAGTTTCACACCGCACGGATAACCTCGGACCAGACGAAGTATTGCACCGTGGTAGCGGCGCTAGACTGCAGCACACTCCAGCCAGTCACAGACATCGTAGCGAACCCACCAGACAAAGAGAGGTACGACACAATTAAGAAGAAACTGATAGCCGCCTACACCGACTCACAGGAGAAGCAGCTACGAAAGCTGATAAACGAGATGGAGCTAGGGGACCGACAACCATCCCAGTTATTCCGCGAAATGAAGGCACTCGCGGGGCAGCAGATGAATAGCGAAGTCGTAAAAACGCTCTGGCTACAGCGACTTCCACCACATGTCCAACTCGTGCTGTCTGCGAGCGAGGGAGTACCGCTGGAAAAGATGGCAGAAATCGCGGACAAATTGGCGGAAATACACAGAAGCAACGCTATGGCTTCCAGTATCAACGCGATAGGCGCCACCAGCGACACGACGCGGCAGAACACCATCGTACCAACGCAGGAAACTAACCTCATTACGGTAATTGCAGACCTCCAGAAACAGATGGCGGCCTTATCGATAGCCGTAACTCATCTAACCAACACGAGAGGGCGCAGTCCACAAGCACGGCAAAATGACCGTCGAAATCGGTCAAGGACACACAGCAGGCAACGCACGGATCAAAATGGCGTTTGTTATTACCACGCCAAGTTCGGTGTAAACGCCCGAAAGTGTTTCAAACCCTGCACGTTTGTACAGCCGGAAAACTAGAGGCGCCGTCGGGTATCGAGGCGGTACACGACGACGCGCGTCATCATCGTCTCTTCGTCACGGATCCCAAATCCGGTATCAGGTACCTAGTCGATACCGGAGCAGAGGTCTCAGTCCTGCCGAAAACGTTTTCAGGTAAGGCTCAGTCACAGACACAAGATACACCCGCCCTATTTGCAGCGAACAACACACCCATCCGCACGTTCGGCCAGAAATTCATGGTGGTTGACTTGAAACTACGCAGAACTTTTAAATGGGTTTTCATCCTCGCGGACGTCGAGAAACCAATAATAGGGGCCGATTTTCTCGAGTACTACCACCTCCTACCGGACCTGAGAAACCGGAAGCTGGTAGACCCCTTGACACATCTCTCTTCCCCTGGTTTCGTATTGGCCTGCTCCGTACCACGTATTACGACGGTGGCAAAAACCTCCAGCTACCACAACCTGCTGGCGGAATACCCGGAATTGACGAAAGCACCACGTCCGGGAAGTCAAACATCCAGCTCCGTAGTGCATCACATATACACAACCGGCCCTCCTGTAGCTGAAACACCACGCAGACTACCACCGGAGAAACTCAAGGCTGCCAAAGCTGAGATCCAGTACATGTTGGAGCAAGGTTGGTGTCGCCCCTCCAGCAGTCCATGGGCCAGCCCACTGCACCTCGTACAGAAGAAGAACCCTGGGGAATGGCGTCCTTGTGGGGATTATCGGAGGCTGAACGGGGTAACAATCCCAGACAGATACCCCATACCACACATCCAGGACTTCTCGGCCAGACTAGAGGGAAAAACGGTGTTCTCCACGATAGATTTGGTACGTGCTTACCACCAAATTCGAGTGGCCGACGAGGACATCCCAAAAACTGCAGTGTGTACGCCATTCGGTTTATTTGAGTTCACAGTGATGACTTTTGGCCTACGCAATGCCGCGCAAACTTTTCAAAGACACCTCAATAATGTGCTCAACGATTTAGACTTTTGTTTCGCATATATAGACGATATTTTAGTTTTTTCCGCGAACCCAGAGGAGCACGTGCGACATTTAAAAACGCTGTTTGAAAGACTGAAGCAACACCAAATCGTGGTTAATGCAGCAAAGTGCGTGTTCGGGGCAAGTGAAGTGGAGTACCTAGGACATAGCATTTCGACTCACGGGACCCGTCCAGCAACCGCGAAAGTGACGGCGATAAGTGATTTTCCTAAGCCGCAAACTGTGAAGGACTTACGAAAGTTTCTCGGCATGATCAACTTTTATCGTCGCTTCGTCAAAAATGCCGCATCTATCCAAGCACCTCTACATGTGTATCTGCGAAATTCGAAAAAAAATGACAAGACGCCAATCAGCTGGACCAACGAGGCGGAAGAAGCGTTCAGCCAGTGCAAGAGCGAGTTGTCCAGTGCTGCGCTGCTAGCACACCCTTCCGAGAACGCCTCACTAAGATTGACCACCGATGCTTCGGATACAGCCATGGGGGCTGTGTTGGAGCAGGAGGTTAAAGGCGACTGGCAACCCCTGGGATTTTTCTCAAAAAAGTTGACCAACACCCAACGAAGGTACAGCACGTACGACCGCGAACTGCTCGCGATATACGAAGCCATCAAATTCTTTCGCTACATGGTAGAAGCGAGAGTCTTCACGGTTAGAACGGACCACAAGCCTTTGATTTACGTGTTCAAACAGAACTCAGAGAAAGCTTCCCCGAGGCAGCTACGCCAACTCGACTTCATCAGTCAGTTCACTACGGAGATAGAACACATTCCGGGCGAAAACAACATGGTGGCGGACACATTATCCCGAATCAGCGAAGTTCACACGGCAGCAGTGATCGACCCAGACGAACTCGCCTCCGCCCAAGAACAAGACCTGGAGTTGAGAAACCTGCTGAATTCCAGTACCAGTTTGAAACTCCAGAATCTCACACCCATGAATTCGGATACGGCGATCTGGTGCGACACAGCCACGGGGAGAATTCGCCCCTACATACCCCTCCACTTACGAAAAAGGGTATTTGACATGGTACATTCTAAATCACACCCAGGCGGCAAAGCCACATTCAAGGCGGTACATAAAAGTTTCGTGTGGCCATACATGGAACGCAACATAAAAAAATGGGCGCGCGAATGCCTTCCTTGCCAGCGGTCAAAGGTGAGTAGGCACACTAGAACACCCCTAAAACATTTTGAACTTACAGAATGCCGATTCGAACATGTACACATGGACATCGTTGGGCCATTACCACCATCACAGGGACACCGGTACTGCCTCACGATGACAGACAGGTTCACCCGATGGCCAGAAGTAATTCCAATGACGGACATGACGGCGGAGACGGTGGCGAAAACCTTTTACGCAACCTGGGTTGCGCGGTTTGGTTGCCCCCACCATATTACAACTGACCAAGGCCGGCAGTTCGAGGCCACACTGATGTCTGCCCTCACAGACCTTTTGGGCACTAAACGTTGCCGAACCACGCCATACCGACCACAGTGCAACGGGATGATCGAGAGGTGGCACAGAACGATCAAAGCCGCCATCATGTGCCACGAGACCAGTGACTGGTACGACATCCTCCCTACGGTGCTGTTAGGTTTAAGGACAACAATCAAGGACGACCTTCAGTGTTCCCCAGCCGAGCTGACTTACGGCACGCAACTACGAATCCCGGGGGAATTTTTCTTCGCAAACGACGAGCCAGAAGTCGACCCCAGCAATTTCGTCGACAAGTTGAGGCTCCACATGCGCAACGTCCGACCAAGGCCAGCAACCCACCATGGCCACCACAAGACTTTTGTCCACCCAGAGCTGTCTGACTGTTCCCACATCTTCCTCAGAGATGACTCAGTCAGGAAGCCACTACAACCACCATACACCGGACCACACCACGTATTACGACGTACGGACAAGGTGATAGTAATAAGCAGGAATGGTAGAGAAACCACAGTGAGCCTGGACCGAGTAAAACCGGCTTTCATATCGGCAGAGTCCTGCACTCCGCCTCATGTGCAGCCCCCAACGCAACAGGTCCCGACAACACCTGCGTCGACGAGCACCACTACAAGGTCAGGAAGAACAGCCAGGCCACCAGTGAAATTCCGCGACTACGAAACGTAGTCACTGGGAGGGGACTACTGTGGCCGCCTGGAAGTAGGCAACCAGTTATACATACATATTGCAGCCACCGGATTGGCAGTTACAACACGCAAGCCCAAAGAGGAAACGCCACGGTGGAAACGTAAAACAGACTCTCTTCTTCTCCGACCACTCATCGTGTGCAGACGTCCTCTTCTTCTCCGACCACTCACCGTGTGCAGACGTCCTCTTCTCTTCAAGACCTCCACGTGGACATACACATACAACCTTGGGCCGTGTTATCATTTTTGTAGTTGGTATTGTAAATAAACCTGTACTAAAACCGTTTCCGTTAGTAATTCGACGACAACAATTACAGTAGCTACCATTATAATTTGTAACAGATTTTGATATCACGAGTTGTGCAATTGAAGATATCCACCTCGTTTTCTATCTGCATATAGTTTCTTATCATCTGATAGAGGGGTGACGCTTTAGTACCATTGGTTTTTGGTCGTGGTGCCTCTAAGACTGAACTAAATCTCAAGTTAGTTCCGCAGGCTTTGAAGTACAAAAGGTTCAGAATATCTTCACAATCTACTACTGAATGTATAATATTGTGCAACAACATAAGAGAGGCAATATTCCGGCGGCATAATAAACTTTGTATTTTAAAGCGTTTGAGATATACATCATTTGGAATACCTCTAGGAGGATACACACCATCATCTAGGAAACTTACGAACTTCAAGAATCTGCGTTGAACTTTTTCTAATGCCGAAATGTGACAATTATATATGGGACTCCACACAACCGATGAATACTCTAGGCGTGAACGAACATAAGTGAAAAACAGAAGTGACAAAACTTCTTTGTCTTGTATAGCACTCGAGTTGCGGATGACGAGACCTAGAGACCTATACGCCAAGGCTGAAACATTCTCAATATGTTTGTCAAACTTTAACTTTCTGTCGAAGGTGACACCATGATCACAGATGTATTCTGGTCGTTCTAGTATAGAATCATCAATTGTGTAATTGTAGAACAAAAATTTTACCTTTCTGAAATAGGATTTAACAAAACATTTATCTTTGTTTAGAAGGAGTTCGTTACTGACTGACCAGTTATACAATCTGTTTAGATTATTCTAAAAACGCACACAGTCATTTATTGTTTTAACTTCGCAGATTAGTTTGAGATCGTCAGCATACATAAGATACTCTACATCAATTTGTTGTCCAACATCATCTATGTAGATATTGAATAGTAAAGGACCCAACACAGACCCCTGGGGTACCCCCGAGGTTTGACGAAACTTGCTAGAGTAAAAGCCCTGATAATACACATACTGATATCTTTCATATAGATATGATGTTAAGAGATTAATCAAGTTATTCGAGAAACCAAAAGAATGCAATTTAAGCAATAAAATTCTATGATTTATGCGATCAAACGCCTTAGAAAAATCTGTATATATGCAGTCTACCTGACTACGCTGATCTAAATAGTCTGAAATAAACTGTGTTTTTAAAAATAAGTTTGTGGTTGTTGACTTTCCCTTTCTAAAACCATGTTGATTTGAAGACAAATAAGTGGAAACGTGATTACATATTCGAGAATGAAGAAGGATTTCAAATGTTTTTGCAAAATTGTTAATAATTGTGATTGGACGATAATTTGCTATGTCACTTGTGCTATTTTTCTTATGGACAGGTGTAATGCGTGATAGTTTCCACTTTTCTGAAAAAATAGATGTTCTTAATATCAAATTAAAAATAACAGACAACGGTTCACATAAAACTGACGCACAATCACGAATGAGAAATGAGGGAATAGCATCTGGACCAGCTGTCAAAGTTGGCTTAAGTTTTTTAATCGAATTGCAAATTTCTCTGGAATCAACATTTTTAACATATAAGATGTTTT